ATCTTCTTTATTCATTTGCAATCATATTTGTTGCATATATCGATATGTACAAACATTAGTTCACTTACCAAAACATTTATCAAGCTATTAAAAATGAGCCATTCTCTTGGAGTGTTTGAACCAGTCATATGATAATAAGTAATCATCCGCGATTTTCTTGTACGTCAAATAAAGTTTTACGATTGGTTTGGGTTAGGTTTAACCCCTTTCCCCCCCTTTGTTCTCGCTACTACTGAATTCTATAAACTGTCAGTTTTCACACAATTTAAAATGTGCATGTGTATTTTAAATTGCAATGAAAATTGTGTTGCTAGCTTTATGTTGCCAACATGTTGCAAGCTTTTTCACAACGTAAACAGAATATGTACTACTTTGCTGACATGATTCAATAATAAAAAGTTTGCTCAAAAAACATTGTTTTGATCTGATCAACAGAACAGTTGCGTGTTAGATGATCGTAATATTTTTCTGATCCTTTCAGACAACATGTTGTGTGTTGTGAATTTGACAGCTCATGTATCAAGCCGTTCAGAAGATACATTACGATCATTGATTTTTTTAGCAACGGTTGCGCTCATCTGCTGCGCTTCCCTACGTATTTTGGAATTTCTAGCTTACCTGTGAAGAACCGCTACATGGACTGTGGGATTCAGCAGAGGATCCTTTCGACATTTCACCACAATTCCTGCAAGTAAGATGAACATAAAGTAGGAAAAGGATGACTTACATCGATTTTTTATAAGCATTGCATGTTTTAAACTATTTAATTTAAAATTTTTGTAACTGAGGAAGCAATTGTTTCATCGCGCCTGTTAAATTGAAACTACTACCAGAAATTTTTGGAGAGGAGCTAACAAAGTGGTACACCACTGCACTTCCATGGAAGGTCACCCTCGACCGAAAAATTGAATGTTTATGAAAGTCGATTTTTATCTTATAATAGAAATAAGCTACTAGTAAAAACAAATATTTTAAAGCAAGCTTTCTAAATATGAACGAAATCAGACCATAAATATTGGTTTACCAAATATATGGACTTGTGCGCCACCTATCGGCAAAATTTTTAGTAGAGTTATTCCTTTCATGAAGCAAAAAATGCACTTAATTAGCTTTTTTGCGGGAGTTCGATAAATAACTAACTTTTAATTAGCTATGACAAAACTAACTTTAAGTTAGTTGCAAAGTCGTGCAAGAGTCATGCAGACGTTACCGGGAGTTTGTTTTCTTTAAAAGTTTCTTTTTAAATATCCTCACAAAAAGTTATGCCTGACGGTGTTCGAATATGGGACCGCCTACAGCAGAATATGTAAACAAATAAATAAATAAAAAATTAAAAAATAATAAAATTGTGCCTGAGGTAGTGACTCTTATGTGTTTGGAACTAATAAGGTTGTAATTATTACTTATCCAACATGCCGTGTATTAGTGGTCAAAAAGTTGACCGTATGAAAACTAAAGCAAAAATTTAATGTGAAAATTGCAGAGTTTTTTCGTATGAAAGGTATTGGTGTTTTGCCTGCAGACTTGGATTTCTTAGAGTGCTCTGGAAATAAATATTTTTGCAACGAGTACGCCGCTGCGCGCACAAAATTCTTCCCCTCCCCTCTCCCTACCGTTATTGCGGAAGATTCGGCCGCATCCAAGATTGTATTGTCATCGAACTCGCCTATTCTCTCACAACTTTCTCTTAACGCTTATAATGTGTCTGGTAATCCCATCCAGAGTTGGTAGCTTTGCATAAAGAGCCAGTGTTGCCATTTTGGAGCTTTTGGAGCTAGACTTAGCTTTTTATTTTTCAATTTAACTCCGAAAATTGGGTTTTAGCTCCTAGCTCTTTTTTAGCTCTTTTCACATTTATCTAGCACTTTTTATCTCCAGAAAGTTGTTGTTGTATTTGGTATATATAAGCCAAAACTTAAGCGTTGATCAAACGGAAAATTTCGAGATGCCAGTGTATCCACCATAAACTCTTGGATCTAGGTTAAAGAATTCAAAAATTAATTAAAATAAAATCCTTTTTCTGATAGCGCGGATTATGTTTTACCTTACTAATTTTACCTTTAAGGAGAACTGGAAGTAAAACTTTCCAGAAAAATTTTGCGAAAAAATTATTAAATTCAATTATCTGAAATTACAGGCTATAACACTTTGTAAAGCATTTTTAGTTCACTGTTATAAAAGCCATAGCAACCAGCCTTGCACCTTATGTTGGTTTTAAACGATTTTTTGAGCACTTACAACTTATAAAATTCGTTGTTTTTATTAAAGTCGCCGAAAGTGTAAAATCAATCTTACGTCAATAAATGCTCAACCATAAAAAGAATATGTACCTCTTCATTTTAGCTACTATTAGTATTATTTAGCTATTTTTAGCTCTTCTTTTCGACCGTTTTAGCTCCAAACGNTGTTTTTGTCTTCCCTTTACATTTGATGAGAAGTCAAAGCAAATGCGGATCAAGCAGTGTAAACACCTTCAAATGACTGATTTCAAATCACGCATTTTGGTCCAATGTAAATGTAATATAAAACTCTGGCTTCACTCACTGCTGAAATCAAAGAACTTCGTCGTACTATGCGTTGCTGTAGTTGTGTGAACAACAACGTTAAAGCTAATGAGCAAACTATTTCATCTGACGTTATAAATGCTGATATAAGGAGTGCTTCTACGGCTGATGCTACTTATCGTCCACTCTTATTTCCATCTTCTTCGTCTCTGGGAGTTCGTTTTTTTCCCACTGATGCTAGTGCTACAGCGTCGGCGTCGAAGCCAACTATCGCTACTGCCGAAATGTGTATGTCATATGCTACTGTTGCCGCGCGGGGGGTGAAATAACACAAACGGCAACAACGCAAAATTGGCTTTATTTCACTTTTAAATGGGAAATAATACCAAAATCTGAGTTTTTGCCTTATTTCCCATTGCTTATCTATACTATTTGTAGCAAAAACAGTTTACTGACCAGAAGGAAAAAGAACTTTGTTTATTCCAAAAATACAATTAAACAAAAAATGTGATATAATTCATATGAAGAAAGTAATATTCACAAAATATTTTTACTTATGAAAGGTCTAACAAAGTATAGGAAAAGAGCCGTCTTTAATAACTGCTCAGCAAATTGGACATAGCGCTTTTGCATGAATTTAATATGCATGCTTTTTTAAATGTGTTGAAAACATTGCTGGAAAATCTTAAAATGTTTGCATGGAACCATGGCGCTATAAACAGGTGAAGTTATATAACAGCTTTCGCGCTTTATTTTCTGTAATTCGGCTGCCTTATAGTCAAAATCAGTGTCAAAATCTTTCTTCTCGCTCTAATTACTTCACCTGGTATAATTCCGCCATGGCATGGAACAAACAAAAGTTGCCGTTCCTGTGCGCAGCATATACACAGAGAATATTGTTTTAGTTTTATCTTCACTTAAAATTTCCGCATTATCATTACTTGTTTCACCATATCCGAAATGTGGATTTCGTTTACGAAGACGAAGTGAACATGCGGTATGAAATAGTTATGTAAAAATATGTAAAATTTTATCTACTCTCAGACTTCTAAATTTGAACGTATACTCGGTACAAGCAGGTGGGATGAATGGCGCAATAAACAGGTGAAGTAATAAAACAGCTTTCTCGCTTTATTTTCTGACATTCGGCTGTCTTATAGCCACATTTTATAAGCATGTTTTCAAATAAGGCAGTGTCAAAATATTTCTTCTCACTCTAACCACCCTCACCATGGGTGGGGTGCATACAATAACACCATACGCAAAAATTCCCATTACTTGGACATTAAAGAGCAGTTACAGAAGTGAACTAGTTTCATTTTATTATTATTCTTTTTTCTAACCGGTCATAATGCCAGCAGCGCATAACTGCGAAAGCAGGGGAGGGGGGCGGGGGACACGAGCGCCAGCGCTACGTCGAACGCGGCGCGGTGCGGGTGCAGCGGGTCGGCGCGCGAACGCGGACCACCGCGACGCTGGGTACTTTCAAAATTGTATACTTACAAATCCGTCCATTTAACTTGTTCGTGTACTACGTTTTGTCGAATGTAACTGTAACTACATATGTGCACTATTTTGCTTTATTACTCAAATTGTTAAGTTTAAAAGTTGGTCTTATTGCTCAGCGCGAAACGAAATAAAGCAAATTTGTGTTATTTCACATTAATTTGGGAAATAACACAAATTTGAGTTATTGCCGTTTGTGTTATTTCACCCCCCTTGCCGCGCGGATGAGTGGAAATCAGCATGCTGTAAACAAAACAAATAAAGTGCAGTGCATGCACATTAGGGAGTGGCGAAATTTCTTCGCTTGCTAATCTTTCTACCTCCATATCTAATGCTACTGATTCGATACTATCAATGTCTCTCGCTCGTAACAGTAAAACTACCGCCAAGGCCGGCAATAAGAGTGGTGAAATAAATGCGCGTCGTTCGATCTAGTTCTAATGCCGAGCTTAATGTGGCCGTTCCATTAAAGTGGCTTCATTTATCATCTTTTAAGCCATCTGTCAGCTCTGATGATATTACTGCATATGTTGAAAAGCACTCCGGAATCGAAAAGCACCTTTTATCCTGTTTTAAACTTATTAAAAAGGGTGCGCCAACTGACTCTTTAAAAGGTGTCAACTTTAAACTTGTGGCACTGAAAACTCGTAAGTAAAATATTTTGGTTTTCTTATTGATATTTTATGTACAAAAGTAGCTAGCTACAAGTTAGCTGACATCTAATGCAAAGGAAACCAGTTCTCACTATTTTGTGGTCATCGGCCTTCAAAGTTACGCCCAAAGGAAATAGTTAATAAATAGTTACCACTAGTCGAATGCTAGTTAGTTAATAGTTAGCTACAAACTAGTCTCATTTCCTGCAGGGTTAATATACGTTCTTAATACGAACCAACTGGGACTATAAATACGTTTTTTTCCCCAATATCTCGACTCCTGCGCCACCTATCGGGTTAACTCATCTTTCGTATTGCATTGTCATCCGGTTCTGAGTCAATTGTGAAGTTTCAAGTCTCTAGGTCATCGGGAAGTTGGTTAAAAATTTATTGCAGGAGTTGCCCCTAACAAACATATATACTTCCATGCATACATACATACCAGGGTCGTTGCGAATATTATTCCGAAATAAAAGTCCTTTCCGGATAATAAACAAACCGCTTATCCAAATTAAACAAGTTTGGTACCAAATTAAAGAGGACTTTAAAATCTTTGTGACTGAAATGTCTAAACGAGGAAAGCCACAGATTTAAAAATATTTCAACAAAAAATGTTAATAAAGTACCATAGAACAAACCTTGTGTCAGGTGTATGCATTTATTATTNTATGATACCAAATTTGTTTAATTTGGAAAGGCGGTTTGTTTATTATCCGGAAAGAACTTTTATTTCGGAATAATATTCGCAACAAGCCTGATACGTACATACAGAGCAACCCAAGAAACATCGGGCTTGGTTAGCAATTCGAAAATGATTGGAAAACCAATATTTTTTTCGAGCCTCACCTTCGATAATAATGGAATAAATTAGTATTCCATTCAAAAACTACGCGAAAACGCGAAATTAATAAGTTTGGTAATTTTTGATAACTTATTTAACATAAATACATTGGTATGTTAAAGATTTACGCGCATATACACTGGCGACGAAAACCGAGTGCATGTACGATATTTTATTACTTACAGTAGCACAACTTTTTTAATAAAAAGCGAATTGCTTTGAAATTTGTAGCGATTGGTCCTTATTATCCAAGGAATAAATCCTAGTATGCAGAAAAGCCAAGCATAAACAAGAAACAATCGATTAACAGCAAAAACGCAAGGCAGCTATTCACTCAGTTTCGAACTTTTCTCTTTTGGGATTTTTGAAGGTTGATACCAACAGGATTGTGGAGATTCCCCTGTTTTTAATTGCGATTTTCATACGTCCGAGAATGTTCTCTACTGAGCTTTCTATGATTTCGCTCGGAATATTTCCCCGTTATAATTCTACTCGTATCCAAAGCTCGCTCTTCCATTTTACTCGGAGCTCGCTTGTGCTATGCCAATCCCCTCTTGACCACAGCGCTTATATGCACATCTCACAATGCATTACTTCGGGTTTCATCCGAATCTGTGCATGTATGCATTACTTC